CTTGGAAACTAGAGGGCTGTGCCCTTGTGGGATCGAACCACCGACCTATCGCTTGTGAAGCGAGTGTTCAACCGCTGAGCTGTTGTTGACGACTCGAATGAGTCAAGAGCATTGCTCTAAGTGGTTTGCAACGCTTGGAGTAGGCGCGGAGCGCGAGCGTAGGTCTGAGACCGCTTGAGAGCAAGATGCGCGCTGCGCTTGAAAAATTGGGCCGTGGGCCGACGATGAGAAGTTGGGCATCAACGATGCATAGGCGTTTGTGAGCTCACGGAGCTGTACAAAGCTGGGGTGAGGTGTAGTAACCTCCGCTGTCTTGGCAAGACGTGACCTCGCTGAGGAAGGTTTCGAAAACGGAATGTTATCATCTTAGTGGGGGAGAGTGTAACGGGGTTACATAGTGTGGAACACACAGGGGTACGAAGTACCCGAAGAGTTAACAAACTCTCAGTACATAAGCTGGAGAGTTAACAATATCTCTCAGTACGTTGGCCGAAAGCCACACGTTATGCATTTGATTAGGTTTAACTATGCTAGATAGTTAAACAAATACATTTACCCCTAGGCGGCTTGGCCGCAACAATAGTAAATGAAACACTTCTGGTTTTGAATCATAAAAGTTAAGGTGTTAACTTTGAGCCCTGGTCTTGGGCGGTAAGTGTCCTTTGGATAAGGAACTTAGTATTAGTGACTCTCTGAGTCGAACGTTTTCCTCTTACGCTAAAGCTACGGCAGCCCTGCTGCACACCAGGTCGGGGCTGACAGGTGCAGTGTAATATGCGGCCTTCGCGCCTCGAACAAGCGGAGTAGCGTCAAAAGCTCGCCCCTGCCGCTCGTGCCTCAGCTCGCCTATGAAAATGGGTTTTTGCTACGAATGGGGCCAGATCCACCTCAGCAGTCACGTTGCGTTCCAGACGAAAATGTACGCTATCACAAGGTCGGGACTGGGCCGCATATTACACAGCACCTGTGTAATATGCGGCCTTCGCCCCTCAAACAAGCGGAGTAGCGTCAAAAGCTCGCCCCATGCCGCTCGTGCCTATGCTCGCCTATGTAATTGGTTTTTGCTACGAACGGGGCCGAATCTGCGTCAGTAGCCATGTTCCGTGTCCAGACGTAAAGGTCCGCTATCAGCAGGTCGGGGCTGACCGGTGCAGTGTAACTAGCGACCTTTGCGCCTCAAATGAGCGGTGTAGCGTCAAAAGCTCGCCCCTGCTGCTCCTGCTATGCTCGCCTATGTGATTTGTTTTTGCTACGAATGGGGCCAAATCCACGTCAGCAGCCACGTTGCGTTTCCAGACGAAAAGGTCCGCAATTATCAGGTGGGGGCTGACAGGTGCAGTGTAATATGCGGCCTTCGCGCGTCAAACGAGCGGAGTAGCGTCAAAAGCTCGCCCCTGCCGCTCGTCCCTATGCTCGCCTATGTAAATTGTTTTTGCTACGAATGGAGCCGAATCCACGTCAGCAGCCATGTTCCGTTTCCAGACGAAAAGGTCTATTATCACCAGGTCGGGACGGAAAGGTGCAGTGTAGTATTCGGCCTTCGCGCCACAAACAAGCGGAGTAGCGTCAAAAGCTCGCCCCTGCTGCTCCTGCTTTGCTCGCCTATGTAATTCGTTTTTGCTACGAATGGGGCCAAATCCACGTCAGCAGCCACGTTTCGTTTCCTTACGAAACTGTTCACTGTCACCAGGTCGGGGCTGACCGGTGCAGTGTAACTGTCGACCTTTGCGCCTCAAATGAGCGGTGTAGCGTCAAAAGCTCGCCCCTGCTGCTCCTGCTATGCTCGCCTATGTGATTTGTTTTTGCTACGAATGGGGCCAAATCCACGTCAGCAGCCACGTTGCGTGTCCAGACGAAAAGGTCCGCAATGATCAGGTGGGGGCTGACAGGGTGCCGTGTAATATGCGGCCTCTCGCGCGTCAAACGAGCGGAGTAGCGTCAAAAAGCTCGCCCCTGCCGCTCGTCCCTATGCTCGCCTATAGAATTGGTTTTTGCTACAAATGGGGGCCGAAATCACGTCGGCAGCCACCGTTGCGTGTTCCGACCGAAAATGTACGCTATTACCAGGTCGGGACTGACAGGTGCTGTGTAATATGCGGCCTTCGCGCCTCAAACAAGCGGAGTAGCGTCAAAAGCTCGCCCCATACCGCTCGTGCCTATGCTTGCCTATGTAATTGGTTTTTGCTACGAACGGGGCCGAATCTGCGTCAGTAGCCATGTTCCGTGTCCAGACGTAAAGGTCCGCTATCACCAGGTCGGGGCTGACCGGTGCAGTGTAACTAGCGACCTTTGCGCCTCAAATGTGCGGTGTAGCGTCAAAAGCTCGCCCCTGCTGCTCCTGCTATGCTCGCCTATGTAATTGGTTTTTGCTACGAATGGGGCCAAATCCACGTCAGCAGCCACGTTGCGTTTCCAGACGAAAATGTCCGCTATCACAAGGTCGGGACTGACAGGTGCAGTGTAATATGCGGCCTTCGCGCCTCAAACAAGCGGAGTAGCGTCAAAAGCTCGCCCCATACCGCTCGTGCCTATGCTCGCCTATGTAATTGGTTTTTGCTACGAACGGGGCCGAATCTGCGTCAGTAGCCATGTTCCGTGTCCAGACGTAAAGGTCCGCTATCACCAGGTCGGGGCTGACCGGTGCAGTGTAACTAGCGACCTTTGCGCCTCAAATGAGCGGTGTAGCGTCAAAAGCTCGCCCCTGCGGCTCCTGCTATGCTCGCCTATGTGATTTGTTTTTGCTACGAATGGGGCCAAATCCACGTCAGCAGCCACGTTGCGTTTCCAGACGAAAAGGTCCGCAATTATCAGGTGGGGGCTGACAGGTGCAGTGTAATATGCGGCCTTCGCGCGTCAAACGGGCGGAGTAGCGTCAAAATGTCGCCCCTGCCGCTCGTCCCTATGCTCGCCTATGTAATTTGTTTTTGCTACGAATGGAGCCGAATCCACGTCAGCAGCCATGTTCCGTTTCCAGACGAAAAGGTCC